GACGAGGGAGGGAGGGAGGGAGGGAGGCGCTGCTGCCCCTTCCGGGACACCGTGTATAGACAACGCGCCGCCGAGGGGCTGAGGCTGGCCCTAATTATACCCGCGCCGTGCCGGACCCGGCCGGTTGTGTTGACTGTTATGGTCCACTCAGCTGCTGACTGCGGGCCAGCGTGCAGGGCCTGTCTCCACGGCATGCGGAAAGTGCTGCTGACTGAGGCGTCTGGGAAACTCCTGGTGTTGCCTCCCTGCCGCATGTGTGCAGAAAAGGTGCTTGGTCGGGTTTCACTCAGAGCAGTGATGCCACTCATCAGTGTCGGGCCTTTCCCAGCTCCCTCCTGTTGCCTTCAAGTGGACTTGTCACTACTGACATGTCCGTCCACATGAATATAATTTTATACAATCTTTGGGTTATTTTTGTCCCATTTGCAAACTTCTCTCTCGCTGAATTACCAAATTAGCCCATCTTCTGTTTATCAGTAAAACATCTTTCATGTTTTCTTTTTCAGTAAACATGTATTTTGCACTTCCTTAAGGAAAAGGCCTTTAAAAAGCTTGTACTACCGGTGAGCTGCCTTCATGTTTATCATGAAAATTATTGGCTGCATAACTGCATGTGCTTTTACTGTTAATGACAGTGTTTGTCACTGTGTTTTGTTGTTCTTGCTCTCTCTCATGCTTAACCTGTGAACATTTCTGCACAGGCCCAAATGTGTGATTATGCATGAAGCACATGCATTATGCAGCAGGTTCTCTATGTACTTTTCATTACAGTTAGATATACTGGTGGATAGTGTGTCCAGTACCTTCATCGTTTATTCCAGAAATGTGGTTGAAAGATGGTCTATGTGGTGCACTTATTAAGACATGCAGTACAAGTAAACTAGGATATTGTGATTGCTCCATAGCTCCTACAGATCACTCTTAAGGAGTCTTCAGTCCTATTTTCATTAGAGTGCATACCTTGATGATATCATATCTGAAAGGAAACAGCATAATCTTTTAAGCACATGAAAATGAACAAGAGTACTTCTCAGTCTTCCTGTTCCTCCTAATAGGAGCCTGTTGATGTGGAATTCTGACAAATACTATGGAAAGGCCAAATAAATAAGTAAAAGCCTCTTATTGCAGGAGCTGGAGAAGGAAGTTCTTGTCTACTGCCATTATTTTCTGGATAAGTGGCAATTCTTTGATATTCTGGTTTGGCACTAGGAAGGTTGCTGTTCTACATAAACTCACATTGTTATTCTGTAATTCTGCATCTTTCTGTTTCATCTTGCTTTTGAAGTTTGGAATAGATGAAGCATATGCTTTTCAATTTGAGCTTGTGACTGAAATATTTTTGGCAAAGGTTGCATAAGAATTTTAAGGGTTAGGTATAAACCTATCGTAACTTTTGAAATATTTTCTTGTGATGAAACAATCTATATTGTTATCAGACATAAATGTTTCAGGGCTTTTTACAAACTTTCAACTTGGATCATCCACCTAGCTTATGAAGGGAAGGTAGTGGATATAGGTTTTCTGGATTTTAGTAAGCTTTTTGATACCATCCTCACAACATCCCTCTGGATGACCTGTCTAACTGTGAGATGGGTAGGTATGTGGTGCACTGGGTGGTGAACTGGCTGAATGGCAGGGCTCAAAGTGTTGTAGCAAATGGGGCTACATCTGACTGACGGCCAGTCACCAGCAGTATTCCTCAGGGCTCAATTCTAGGACCAGTTCTGGTCAATCTTTTTATCAGTCATCTAGAGGTAGGAGTTGAATGCACCATTAGCAGGTTTGCTGATGATATTAAACTAGGCGATGCTGTTGACTCTCTTGAAGGGCTGGGGAGGCCTTGCAGAGAGGTCTAGATAGATTGGAGCATTAGAGATGATTAATGGGATGAAATTTAACAAGTCCAAATGCTGGATTCAGCACCTAGGATGGAGTAATGCCTGCACAAGTGTAAATGGGAAGAGGAGTGGCTGAAGACCAGCCCTGCAGAAAGAAAGAGATTTGGGCATACTGGCTGATAGCAGGCTCAATATGAGTCAGCAGTGTACCTCGGCAGCCAAGAAGGACAAAATTCTGCATCTAGGGGTGCGTCAAACACAGCACAGCCAGCCAGGCAAAAGAGGTTATTATCCTGCTGTATTTAGTGATGGTGTGGCCTCAACCTTGAGTGTTGTGAGCACTTCTGGGCCCCACAGTTTAAGAAGGATGTTCAAGTCTTTGAATGTGAGCAGAGGAGAGCAACAAAGCTGGTGGAAGGTCTGGAAGGCATGTCCTGTGAGGAGAAGGTAAGGTCCGGGTTTGTCTAGCTTCGAGAAAATAAGACTGAGGGGTGATATCATTGTTATCTACACCTTTCTGAGGACGGGAGGTGCAGAGGGAGGTGCTGATCTGTTATCCCTCGTATCCAGTGGTAGGATGCATGGGAATGGTTCAGAGCTGCACCAGGAGAGGTTTAGACTGGACATTAGTAAACATTTCTTTACCAACAGGGTGATCAAAGACTGGAATGGGCTTCCTAGAGAGGTAGTTGATGCCTAATGCCTCTCAGCATTTAAGAGGCATTTGGACAATGCTGTGAATAATACGCTTTAACTTTTGGTCAGCCCTGAATTTGTCAGGCAGATGGACCAGATGGTCGTTGTAGATCCCTTCCAACTGAAATGTTCTATTCTGTTATGTTCTATTCTATTACTTAATATATACACACTCTTCTGCTTCATCTATTCAGAGAAAAGATCTGTAACTTTAAAATAAAAAATAATGTTTTTCAAGTTCTGTAGAGACTTACCTGGAAAATCTAGGTGATCTGTGCTGAGATACCTTCAGCCAAAGCTTTGCCTGACTCAGGAGGGTAGTAATCTCTTCCTTTATGAATTTGATACATTTTGATAATGGTATGACTTTTCTGTTTTGAGAGCCATGTGGTTTTCTTGAAGATGGTGCCCTGAAAATACATTTTCAAGAAAAAATTGTGCAGGCTGATGCAACTTTGCTAATATGGCTAATGCTTAACTTCTCTTCATACAGGAGATAAATTTTGTTGGGAATGGTTATGTAAGCTATAGCAATCTCCTGTCAACTTTCTCAAGTGATACTACCGATAATGCAATTTCTCCATCAGGAAAAAGATGGTAGCTTTTTATGGGGACTTGCTCTTTGAACCCCTTGATTATAAAGGTTGGTCTGTTTGCATCTCTCCTCCTGATACACTAAGAAGCTTAGTTTGGGAGGCATTGTTGATAGCTGTGACAAATGAAATAGACTATCACAGAGTGGCAGGGGCTGGCAGGCAGCTCTGGAGACTGTCTAGTCCAGTTTTCTGCTCACAGCAGGGTCACCTACAGCAGGTTGGTCAGCTCTTGTCCAGTTGAGTTTTCAATATCTAGTGATGCATATTCTACAGTCTCACATTCCTGTGTTTTGACACTCTTACATTAAGGAAGTAATTTCTTTCTGTTGATGCTGTTACTGGTTTTTGGTTATCTCCTATCTCATTGGTTAAAAAAAGTTTTTATTGTAGTGAGATGTTAGTCTTTTCTAGTGTCCCTTGAACTGGAGATCTTGCTTGGGCAGACTTGTTTTACTACAGTAGCTAATTCTGCCAATTACAATAAGAGTTTTTGTCTTTTATGAATTCTTATTCTGGTATATATCAAAGTCCTTTTATAAGGAATATAAATATTGCAAAGAATAAAGTATTTAGCACCAAAATCATACAGCACATCCATCAGAGCTAGGAATAAGAAAACTGAGACACACCGATGCCTTGTTCAGTCTATTGGTGTAGTTTTATTGTCTTCTTTGCTTCTTGTTTTGGTACTTACATAAAATAGCTTATGTGTGTGATTGCCCTTCATGATGCATAGAAAGGATGAAGTTAAAATTCATACATTCTTTTGGGTTTTCTGCTTATTGACTCTGGAGAGTTTGGGGTTTTTTCACTTAAAGTCTGTAACAGACAAAGGTCTTATTCCATGTTTATGTAGAAAGAAGTGCATGCCCTTAAATTTTCAGACTTTCTGAGGTAATGAGAAAAAAGTTGTAGCAGATGAGGTGAAACAGCTTTTCATTTTAGATAAGTGTGCTACATAATTTGTCATGCTAAATAAGACATCCAAAATATGTTTTGTTTTGAACCGTGTATCATGATTTTAATTTAAAACAGATTTCTGAGATGTTATTTATAAGCCTTTTGAAAGGTGATTACTGAGTGTCTTTCCTGGGTGTGAAATCCATAACTCGAGCATGACTTTTGCAGAAGAAAGGCTTAGTTAACTTCAAATAATAACTTTATGAGAATACTTTTTGTGACAGACATAGTTCATAGTTCATGAAAAATGAATTTAGTTAAAAATGAGCATTAAAGGAGACTATGAATTAACTATACAGTATTTTGTAGCACAAGGTGTGAGACAACTCCAGGGTGGAACTTTCCTAGAATTGGGTCACCTCTGGGATAGATAAAACATAGTTGTGTCACACAGACTTTTACCAAACTCTTCCATGATATTTTTGCTCATCTGTGATTGTTTCTCATAACTTATCCAACCTGTTTGAAAGTAGTCTCTCTTTGTAACTATTGAGCAAGAAAATCTGAGTTTTACTTTTGCAAAGGCATTGACTGGCCCATAAGTAAGACTTGTCTGTAGGTTGAGGTGTTGGGAGAGCTGTGATTTCCTTGGCACATGCTTCTGAGAATCCTCTAAAATATTGTGAAGCTGAAGGGTGATGAGTTGAGGAGGTTGGTTTATTGTAGAGTTTACTAACAGTGAAAAGCTTCTAGTAGAAGGGCACTTTATCTAAGAAGAAAGGATGATTAGGGATTGCTGCTTTATTGAACTGATCCTGTTTAAAGTATTTGTGGTTTGAAGCAAGAGTAGTACCTTACACATGGACAAATTAGGATAGTATAATATAACTTGTTTTTCTCCTCTTACACAGATGGAAATGACTACAGGAAAATGTTATTTTGTGCTAACATTTCTTTTAGCATGCTATTTGAAGGCTGTTCAAGTTATGTCAGTTTATAAGCAGCCATTCTGCAAATGCTACAATCCTATGTTCTACACAGAAAATATGTGTAAAGGTCCTTGAAAAAAGTATTTTACACCATTATGATGATAAATTAATTTTCTCAATAAAATTAATGACAAATATTGCTGTGACCCTTTAATTTGGTATCATATTCAGGTAAGAATTGTGTTTAAACCATCTTCTTGCTTGAAAGAAGTATGCCACTTCTAACTGAAGTGGTATTTGACACTGAAATTACAAAGTTTCTCAAGATATATCCTATCAATGTGTTGATAAACAAAACTAAATCAAGAAGTTGTCAAGACTGTGTAAAAATGAAAATTCCTTCATGTAAAGGTACCTTGTCTTTTTGCTTTTTAATGATTCTTCTGTTGCTGTTTGATTGTATTTCATACAGCTGATGAGCATTCAGAAAACTTACACATATGTAATTGAAAATACCTTTTTGTACAAGGAAGTTCTGGGAGCTATGCTAATGTTTAACTGAGATGACAGATTTTGAGATTTCTGTCAGCAGTTTTGTATTTGTATACCCCCAAAAAGGAGAGCACATGTTATGTAGTGACTCTTTTTTACCTTACTTGGTGTTTAACTCATCCCAACCTCCCAAGTCCCTTGTAGTTTTATGTTTCTCTAGGTACTTGGTGTTATTTAAACTTGACCGATGGCTTTACTTCAACTCTCATTTTCTTAACATACTTTCTGCTTTTTTTGTGTGTGTTTTTGGTTTTGTTTTGTTTTGTTTTATTTTTTTTTTCCCCCCAACATTTCTGCGTTGGTCTTATTTAGCTGTCCTCGTAGTTTAACAGTCTATTATCTATGCCATCTCTGATGTTAGTCAAATAATATCTGTTCATATTTGCTTGTGGATTCCTCTACTGCTATAAGCTATATTTGAGGAGGGATTGACACTGACCATGTAGAAATACAACATTAACTTTTTCTGTACTTTTAAATCCATTTTCTTAACTTTATCTTATTAGACCCTAAGGTATCCTTTAGTAACTACGAAGATAAAAATTGTCCCTGTTAGATTCATGAGGCACAGAGAACTCTACTGACTTCAACAAAATTAGGATTTTGTCCTAGGTTTTCTTCCAAACAATCACAGGGTAAAAGGTTTGAAGTTATTTTTTGTTAACATTCATAACACTGCTCTAGTGTCATAGTTATGACCATACATGCATGTTGCATAGGTGTCTCTAGTATTCTTTTAGCTTTAGTCTTTTGACTTAGTCTGTATATACAGAAAGTTTTCATATCACAAGTAATTCTTTTATCCCTTTTTCAACAACATTTGTTTGAATGTAGCAATTTATGCCAGCCTTGTGATAAGATTTTTTTTGCATTATCTGTCATGTGGACATTGTCATGTCATGTGACTGTCTTAGGTTATTCTCAACTCAACAGTAGCAATTACTTCTTACCCCATTAAGTAAAAAAAGTGTATATTGAGAATGATGGAAATATTGACTATACAGATATTATGAACTGCCTCTCCTTTATTTCCTATTTCATTTGTGTTCAAAATAATTTCTAATCTGTTAGAATATCTGGGAGTCCTAGTGCCAGTTGCTTAGCTTCTACTTTAGTAAAAACAAAACAAAAGACACAATATGTAGGAAACAACCATATCTTTCATCATGCTTTCATCTTAAAGGTTTAGAATTTTCTTCTGCTTGGTGCTTTGATGTAAACAACTTCTTTCTGTGATGAGGACTAAAGGCCAGATGAAATGAATGGAGAAAATGGAAGGTACTTTGTCTTGGACCAAAAGGTGAAATTTGCGTCTTTCGTTATTAGCCTTAGCTTTAAACAATGAAGTTAGGTACTTTAAGTTGTGCTAAAGCACTGAAACGGCTGGCACAACAGTTGCTGCTGTTACAAATCATAGTTGAGGGTGGAGGAAATGATCATACTGATTATTTCTTTTTATATCAGAAGTTGGAGGACTTTGAAGAAAGGTTTTATACCCTTCCCATCCTGACAGGGTTACATTTGCTTCCCAATTCCAAAGGGAGGTTTAATTCACTGGTGTATAACCTAAACCAAGATTGGATCCTGCTTTGTGTTCTTTCAAAGTTGCCCTAATGTGAAAAGGTAAATGTTTTCCAAGAAGCATATTTTTAAAAATTATTTAAGCACATGAGAGATCATGACAGAATCTGAAGCGGAGAGTCTCATTATCATATTTGATATCTCTTACAAGGTGGTTAAGTGGTGCCTCAGTGTGGGGCAGAGAGGTGTTTATGCACATTATAATAATAATATAATGTGTTGTACATATTATGCTGCTATAGCATATACTATCATACTATGTTATACATAAATAATCCTTGTGATTATTAGCTCTGAAATATCCAGTATTGAAGTTCCTGAATGTTATAAACACCTCTCCTAGGCACCTGGCTTGGCTTTATAAATTTTGCAGTTTCTAAAAGGAAGGGCTACTATCATCTTTGAGTTTAGCACTAAATGCCTAGAAAGCAGTTTTGGTTGTTTTGTTTTGTGTGGTGTTTTTTTTGGGTTTTTTTGGTTTTTTTTTTGCTTGTTTGTTTTTTAAGTCCAATAGCTTTCCTGTAACTCCTGTTTGCTAGTATACAGTAGCTGAAAGTGACTGTCAGCATTTTGTAAAGATGCCTTCACAGAGTGTTTGCTGAATGACTGGGGATCTGAGTTCCTGATGCAAAAAGACTTGAGCAAGGCATGTTCGATGTGTGTAGGACTAGTTCTTCAAAGCCAAAGGGAGCGAGTTCAGTGTGTGTGTGGCTTACATGGGACCAAGGCCCATGCAGAGAAGCCACAGAAAGTGAAAAAAGCAGATGCAAACAGTTCATCTGTGATAAGTACTGTACCTTAATCCTGAAATGTGAATCACTGCCTCTTTCTTCCACGTTTTGTGAAACATGGAAGACATTGACCCTACAAGTTATCTTTTATTCCAAAGTGTAATTATAAGCAATATTTTTAACTTGATAGCTATAAAAGACCGCACAAATGATAATACAAAGTTTCGATATCGCCCATGACTTGTGTTACTCTTTACTATAGCTGTGTTGAGTTTCTCTCTTTTTTGATCTACTGTGCTATAGAGATGCATAAAACACATAGAGAATATGTAGCAAGTCAATTTTTTTCTTATTGTAAGATCTGCTAGAAGTATGCTTCTGCAAGTATTTTTACCTGGTTCTTACATTTAGCTACCAAGTGCCTGTATAGGCTTTTTGTAATCACTACAGTAATTCTGTACAAAACTATAGATGACATTCTTATTGGCCTTAATCATTTAATGTAAACTCTTGACACTTAGAATTTTCTGACCTTCGAATTTCATAGAGCTAAATGTGTACACTTTACATATGCTAAGTTTTTTAAAATTTATGATGTGTCAATATAGCAGTATTTTAAGTCATAGTTTTCTTACGTTGCGGGAAAGTAAGTAGAGAAGAATTTCTAGAAAAATGTTTTAAATTACATTTCAGGCTCAGAAGGCGAAATAGAAAAACACGAAGATATGGGGTTTTGGATACAAACATAGAAAACATGGAGCTGACCCCATTAGAGCAAGATGATGGTGATGATGACACAACAGTATTTGATGCCAGTCATCCTCGAAGGTTTGTATATAGAAGCCAAATATACTTCTAGCAATAGAATTGGAGGAGCATGGATGATAAGCAGTTTCACTGTGAAAGCTCACTACTGTGTTTCATATGCATGTAGTTGGAGAAGGGATGTCAAGATCACTTGAATTTTAAATTGGTAAGAATTTAGTGAGCAAGAAGATAAACAGCATTTGTCTTCAGCATGTGAGTTCCAGAGAAATGGAGAGGAAGGTAGGATATTTTGGTTACAAATACAGTGTCATTACCAACACTTATGTTAAAGTCAACAGCTAGCCCTTACCTTTCTCTTGTAATTTTTTATTTTGGTGGCTCCTCGATTTTTACTCTGTATTTTCTCCTATGAGTTCCAATTTCCAGCAGCTTCATTCTGCTTTCTCATTGTTAAAGTAGTCAGGTTGTTGATGATGAACCTGCACCAGGTTTTAGATTTGGTACTGCTGCATAGAAAGGCACATATTCTTAAGTCACTATCTGAAACTATGTGGATACAGGAAAAATTTTTTATAGTTCCTTATTGCCCCTACACTTAAACATTATGATCAATTCAAACAAGCATATGCAATTCAAATTTAAAACAGTACTGCTTATTGAGTAATGCCATCACACTGCACATGCAAAGACATAGTAAAAATTTTGGAAAAATTGTCATAGCGAGGTCTAATGTTAGGCATGAAATAAAAAAATCAATTCTGCCAGTCACAGCTAGGAACTGATTCAACACTTTAATATGAAAGTACATAATGTCTCAAATGAATTAAAACTGTTGGAGTGGTAAGTCAGATGTTCTGCTGGTTATCAGAAAACAACTTTGGATGCAGTTTTGGAACTTGGAGTGAAAGGTTCAGCCTTTTTTTAACTTTCTCTCCTATGCGGGAATCTTTCAGATGAAATTTTTTTCCCAAGACAATCTTTCCTTTTTGTCTCCCCCATACATTAGAAGAAACTAGTTGGAATCTCTCCACTTACCGCTCCTCTGTATTAGAGAGTTATGTGGCACTTACAGTTACTCCACATTACCAGTCTTCTTCCAGTATAAATTACGGTTATTATGTAATAAGTAGTTGTCACATTATACTCCAGGAATTCCATCTATGTCTGTGTTAGATCTTTTAAAGTCTATTGCAAATCATCATACTTATTAGTCTTCGAGGTATTTGATGACCACTTAACTTGATAATCCTCATAAATATTTATTTATGTGAGCATCAAGTTACCTTCTTACTAGGAATGAACATGATAATGTGGCTAGTCATCATTAGCAAACAGTATTACACAATTAACACTGGTATTCATGTTATAGAGGTTACTTCATTCTCTTATATGTTAATTTTGGAGATTAAGCATGATAGTATTTGTTCTTAAGCTTCAAGGAGCTGATGATGTCCTAAAAGCAGTATTTCATCTAAGGGGACTATACTATTAGTATGTTAAGTAGCTATATGCACTATGTCTTCTAGTGCAGACACGGCTGTGTCAATAAGTGGTATTGAAATATATCTGCCTTATGCATGTATATAGGTGTTCTGAGTTTTTTTGACTGCTTATAATAACTTCCAATTAATCTATTTTGAAAATTTAAAGAGTATTGTTTTAAGCTTTCCAGACTCTTAAATGGCAGCATATATCTTTTAACCCTACTCTTTTACTTTAATAGGTTGCTCTGTATTTAAGTCACATTCTACAGATAAATCCAACATTCCTAGCTTGAAGCTTTCTGTATGTTAAGATAAATGAGTTTGTATTTTTGAAGTCTGAAGCTATAAAACCACCTCAAAGTGTCAAAGTGATTGTGTCTGTTTTCTTTAAACTTATTTGAGTACCTTAAAAATAGAAACAATGAAAACTCTAGGGGGTAAGTAAACTAAAAGAGTATCAGAGGTTTTCAGAGGGTGGATTTCTGATTTTTTTTTTCCTGTATGTCTCTAAATACTTCAATTTGAGGGAGAAAAAGTTTTCATTCAAGTGTCTTACTGTAGAAGTATCTAATATGTATAGTACTTTTAAACTGTTACAGATCCATTTTGCAATCAGTCTTCCAGTGGCTTATGGAGTAACCAAACTATGTAAAGCAGGTAGATACCATTCCTACCTGGTTTACATACTTAAGTTATTTCATTCTTGGATATTTCATTTTTGTCCCTGACAGGATGTGTAAGGATGAAACAGTGAAAACAGTAAGAAAAGGATCTGTGGTTTAGACTGAGATCCTTATTTTTATTTTACTTTTCCCTTTTTGCCACACAAACACGGTAGGGTGATCCTGGGGTGTATATATGCTTCTTAAGGAGACAAAGCTGAGAACTCCTTAAAACTAATCAGGGCTGTACCAAGGACCCTATATATTTCTATCATGGTTATTTAATCAGGTAGAGAATATTGTATTCATCCCCCAGCAAAATATCCCCTGGCAAAATATATCTTGGAAATTCATACTCAATGAGTATGTCTTATGGATTGCCCTACCTCTGATCCCAATATGGATTTTGTCAAATTATGTCCTAAATTAATGCTTTTGCCAGTACACTTTCTATGGTTCTGTGGTTGAAAGTAATTTGGTTTATGGTTAAGAAATTAACTTGCATTAAAGCAAACTCTTCGTAACTATAGAGAGCAGGGTTTAAACTGCACTTGCTCTTAACTGTGTTAACTACAAAAAAAACACATTATTACTGTGTAGTTGGAAAAAAACAAACCATAGCAAAACAAACCCCACAAAACCCCCATCCTAATTTCAAAATACACAGCCCCTCCTTAAATTGAAGTACTGCAGCAAATCATCATCTAGTTTAGCTATTCCAGGCAATTCGGAAGTATTAGAAAGTAGATTACTGATTCAGACCATTTTAAAAATAGTCATTGGATCACATATGTTACAGCTTGAGAGCATCAGTAGTTGTGTTGGTTTAAGCCCTGCCGGGACTGGAGAGCAAGTTGCTGTTGCCCCTTCTCCACCCGCAGCCAGTCGGGCTGGAAGATAGGCACAAACCTGGGCTAAAATAAGAAGAAATTTAATACAACAGTGTGATAAAACAATCTGAACAACAACAGTGGCAATGATAACAACAGTAAACAGCAATAACAATGAACAAGACAAAAGATAAACAGAGAAATACCGCAAAATGGTCAGGGAACAAGCCCGCCGAGTGAGTCGCAACCCCCAAAATCAAAAGCGAAAGTAAAATGGCTCCACCCCTGGACCTGATGTCAGCGTGGTATGAATAACCCGGCTGGAGATCCCTTCACCCTCTCTCTCTGATGGGAAAAGTTGATTCTATCCTGGCTGAACCATGACATAATCCACCCCTTTATTCTATACCATCTGCATCATGTCCAGCTGCCATTTAGCAGTTAACAATAACAAAAACAATCATTTACAAATGCACAGTATAATTTATGGCATGTTCTCGCCCAGAATCAAGTCCCCCTGTGGTACACATCGGACCTCTCCATTATCCTGCATCACCTACCAGGTATACCCAGGTCCTTGGGCAAAAGCAATCCCGTGGATGGGTTTGCATTTACCTTTGCCTGGCGCAGGACTAAACCAGACCATTTTTACCAACATATTCCTCATGCGCACCACAGGGACTTTATCCCCATCTATAGCACATGGAGGTTTTGACTGAGCCGGGCCAGCTCGACTGGCAGATCCCCTTGTGTTGACTAGCCCGGTGGCCTTTGCTAGATGCATGTCCCAGTCTTTGGAGGTCCAACCTCCCAGTGCTTTCAGTGTGGTTTTTAACAGTCCATTGTAGCGCTTGATCTTTCCAGAGGCTGGTGCGTGATAGGGGATATGGTAGACCCACTCGATGCCGTGTTCTTCTGCCCAGGCATTTATGAGGTTGTTTTGGAAGTGGGTCCTGTTGTCTGACTCAGTTTTCTCTGGGGTGCCGTGTGTCCATAGGACTTCGGTTTCAAGGCCCAAGATGGTGTTTTGGGCGGTGGCATGGGGCGCTGGGTAAGCTTCCAGCCATCCAGCGGTCACTTCCACCATTGTGAGCATGTGGCGCTTCCTGTGGCGGGTCCGTGGCAGTATGATGTAGTCGATTTGCCAGGCCTCTCCATATCTATATTACATCCATCACTCTCCATTCTGCTGGGGCTTCACCCCATTGGCATGTTTGATTGTAGCACACGTCTCACATCTGTGGATGATCTCTGCAATGTTGTGTCAGTAGTGAAGTCCACCCCTCGATCTCGAGCCCACCTGTATGTTGCATCTCTACCTCAGTGACCCAAGGTCTCATGGGCCCACCAAGCTATGAACAGTTCAGTTCTGCGCTGCCAGTCCAAGTTCAACTGAGCCCCTCTGAACTTAGCAGCTTGGTCTGCCTGCTGGTTGTGTCGATGTTCATCATTGGTCCGACTCTTCGGTACATGGGCATCCACGTGGCGCACCTTCACAGCAAGCTTTTCCACACCGGCTGCAATGTCCTGCCATACTTCAGCAGCCCAGACGATTTTAACCATACGTTGCCAGTTGTTCTGCTTCCGTTGTTGCAACCTTTTCCACAGCGTATTCGCCACCACCAACGAGTCAGTGTAGAGGTAGAGCCTTAGCCACTTTTCCCACTCAGTAATATTCAAAGCAAGCTGGATGGCTTTCACCTCTGCAAACTGGGTCGATTCACCCTGTCCCGCAGCAGCTTCAGTGACCCGTCGTGTGGGACTCCATACAGCAGCCTTCCATTGTCGATGTTTTCCCACAATCCGACAAGACCCATCAGTGAACAGGGCATATCGCTTCTCCATATCTGGCACATCGTTATATGGTGGGGCCTCCTTAGCACGTTTCACCTCCTGCTCTGGTGACATCCCGGAATCTTTGCTCTCTGGCCAGTTCGTAATCACCTCTAATATCCCTGGGCAGCTGGGGTTCCCTATTCAAGCCCGTCGTGTTATCAATGCAACCCATTTACTCCACGTGGCATCTGTTGCATGATGTGTGGAGGAGGTCTTTCCTTTGAACATCCATGCCAGCACGGGTATTCGGGGTGCCTGGAGGAGCTGTCTTTCAGTGCTGATAACTTCTGAGGCAGCCCAATCTCGTACGCTGCCAGTATCTCCGCAATTGGTGTCTAATCAGAACCTTTGTATCCCTGGCTCCAAAAGCCTAGAGGTCAGCCTCGGGTGTCCCCAGGTGCTCTCTGCCAGAGGCTCCAGGTAGGGCCATTCTCCCCAGCCGCAATGTAGAGCATGTTCTTAAACTC